AGAAAAAAACACATACATCATCATGTTAAAATCAATACATTTCTTGCTCCGTTCAGAAACTAAAATACATAAAATTCGTTTCGATTCAAATCCTACATATCCAGATAAAATATAAGAGCATTTATTTTACCAAGCAATAGCAATATATATTTTTATTTAACATCAATTTTGAATTCCTAAATGGCAGGAACTTAATTTCTTTTTTAATGATTTTATTGTCTTACATACAATTTGTTTATGATAATTCATTGAATTTTTGTATTTAAGACTGGAACTTGATAAATTAAGGTCATTAATAAGATATATTATGCAATTTATAACACTACGACAATTTTCTCCAAATGACAAATCTCTACCACCTTCAGGAAAGACACTTTGGTGGATACCATCAGCAATGAAAAATTTAGCTTTAATAAGTAAGTTTGATGCACGTTTATTTGAAGTTTTATAATAACATTTTAAAATATTAATTGAGAAACWTTCACAATATTTAATTAACTAGGTAACAATATTTAGAGTTATAACTTTTAAGAGTTATTTGAAATGTATTCCAGATGCAGCCAATAAATTAGGAACCGAACTATTACATTTTACTGAATTATATAACTCTGCTTTGGATCACATTGATTTGATGCGTGATTATTACAATTGGCAAAGTTTTGGACCATATGAATGTTTTTCTTATTGCCAATATCCGTTTATTCTGAGCATTGTTGCAAAAAGGATCATACTTACTAAAGATTCAGAACAGCAAATGATTCTAAATGCTAGAAAATCATTGGTATCTAAGGTTGCAAGAAGGCAGACACCTAATATMGATATATTCTTTTTAAACGTAAACATAAGAAGATCACATTTGGTACAGGATTCATTAAATGAGGTAAAAAATAAAAAAATAATTTGTRTCGTTAAAATCCTAAACATTTCTTTTCACARATCTCTAATCCTTTTTTAAATATTTCCAACTTTTATTCTAAGGAAACGTCCACATCCATCAAATTCATACCTCATAAACTCTCTAAAAACTAAAAATTAAACATATAACTATTTAACAATAAGTATAAGTTATTKAAATAGCTATGCTTGTATAATATTATGTTATGTAAGTACCTACGATATTTTATGTTACATTATTATTATAAGAAATATTTCATATTATATCGTTAATTATTTATTCACATTTTTTTTTTTTTTTTTATTAGCTATATTAGTAAACACTATCATATCTCGACAATTATAACAGACAAACATACTTATTTATTATAACAAAAATCAAAATTATTTCCTACATTTTAACTATTGTTTGTTTTTCAAA